GAGCTCTTTTATGTTTAGAACAATATATACTAATTTTTAATTTACCAAATTGAATTTTTGTTCAATAAAAATCTCTCAAATGCAACTATAGCTTTTTCCCCCCAAAACTTTTGTCTTGAAAATAAGGGTGTGTCTTATATTTCGAAAAATATGGTAAGCCTAAATTTTTTTCTGTGTAAAGAGGGTTTAAATGAAATAGAAAACTAGAAAGAAAACAAAACCTATGTGATCAATCTTACATTCTTTTTAATATAACCCTTGATATCTTCCGGAAACTGTAGCCATCTTTGCTGGTACTGGACTCTGATATCCGAATCTTTTGAAGTAAGTGCATTCTTGAGCTGTAGACCAGCAGCCATCCGTGCCACTGGACTGTTTCCTGCATGTTGAAGTACATCTGATAGTGACTTTAAAAACTCAGGCTAAAATAAAATGAAAATATATTTATTATACAATGTATTTAAACATAATACTGTCCATTTTTTAAAATATATTTCTACAAAATCTAATTAGAATATTTATTTGTATTTTGATATTTATGTAAGTGTATAGATTGATTGGGTGTCTCCAAAAAGTTATATACAAGGAGATAAAGGGAAAGAGCATATATATATATATCTAAGTCCCTGGTGGTCCACACACACACACCTTTATTTGAGTTATCAACTTTTTCTTTACTCCATGTAAACATAAATCATAATAGTTGGTTAAGTATTTTATATGTATAAGATAATTAATGCTAGTACTTTAATGGTATTTCAAAGTTTGAATTGCTATTTAGTTTATTTGTTCAATTGTTCTCTCCTTCATTTGACTTTTTTTGCCCGTTATCCTATACAACTGATGCAAAACTCTCATTAAGAAATTTATTCAATACTATTTTTTCTATAGATATTTTCAAACAGAAAAAAAGACAAACATTAATGAAACATAACATATACCACATACATTAAAATATTCAACTCACTAAAATAAAAAATTAAGTACTAATGGCATTTAATATGAACTGAAAAGATGTCAAAACTTAAAGATCTATGGTTCCCATATTTATAAACTTACCAAATTTGTTTGTGCAGCTTGTTCGAGATACTGCTGTGCTGCTTCTAACTCGTTTTTGTCTGTAAAATAATATCCAAAACTTGAATCATGATAATTAACTATGTATCTTCAACTAGGTAGAAGCAGATTCAAAAACAGTTGTATATTTATTAAAAAAAAAAAATTAACTAGCCTAATACGGTACTGAAAGTGTAAACACTTTGCTAGTGGTGAGAACTAGCTATTATATCATGTTTGATGAGCAGCTAGGCATAACTAACTAATGATTAGTTAATGGTAACTATTAACTACACAGTCTTGTGCACTTAATGATTCTGACAAATATTTTATTTCTTCGGCTTTTTCCTTTCCTTTCTTTTTTGCTGCTGTGGGATCCAGCTTTTGCCATTCTAATAATGTGAGTTAAATTCCTTTAGTCTCAATTCTTCATTGACGTGCCCACTCATGCCTATAATTAAAATGAACAGAAAACAAACTTTCACAGAGATTGGGGGTGTAGATTTATTTCTGCTGCTGAAAACATCTGGATCGAATAGGATACATTATAACTTAATAATTCAGTGTTAAAATATTAACTAAATGCTTGGTTGAGGCCAGAAACTGGCAAATTTTTGGTATGCTCAATGACCGTACACACCACGTTTCCTAGTATAAAGCTTGACATTATGGTGTATGTATGTATAAAAACCACCTTGAAGCATTCCACCATCACTTTCAAGTTTGTCATTAGATAACAGTAAAAAATGTTTAAACAGTACAGGTTAAAACCATCAGTAATTGTGGAACATATACTTTCACACCTATAGAGTAGCCTAAATCAGGTTACATTTCAAACTTATCTTATGTTTCTTCACATAAACAACAACTTACACAATGGGATAAATGGCCAGGTCAGAGGCCCTTTTAGCTCAAGCATCAGCCATTACTAATTTCCATCTTCAGACCAGATGAAAGGCAACCAGTCAGCACAACCCATCACCTGAAGTCACTACTCTTTACTGAATAGCAGGATTTTTTCATATAAATGTAAAAACGTGCTTGGTAGGCCACGTCTCAAACTCACTCTTAAATCTTTAGTTCCATATAGGCCACACTTGAACCTACCTTATCTACAGTCTGAAGTTTAATGCCAATGTTCCAAGCCCTTGGTGAAACCTCTCAGCCTTAATTGTGTGTGTCTGTCTGTTTCTATGCACATACCTATAAAACTAATAGACCGATATACACAAATATTTTACATAACATAGGAAGTCAGTATGGGACAGTCCTTCTCAAATTTGGTCTAGATCGAAAACTGGATCCGGATCACTTTGAAGCATTTGTTATAAGGGGGAGATAGAGCATTTTGGGTTAATAACTATGAAGTGTGATCGAATTTATACACAATTTTATTGGCACATTAAGGTTGAGACTCATCACACAATAAATAATTATCTGGATCATTGATCATTCTGGATATGAGAAGGATTTTCTAAGTTTTTGAAAGTGAAATTTAATGTTATCCAATATAAATGCATGCAATCTCAAAAAAGGAGTGGCAGGACGAACCTATGCAATCTCTCCAGTTGCTCGTTAAAATTGAGATTTTTATTCTGGATAAAAGATTTTTTGTAGTAAATGTAACTACAGATACATTTGAAAAGACTAATAGTACCACTATGTGTTCAATATACAAGTAATAGCATCAACAACAAAATTTTTGATTTGTAAACCTCAACAGTTATAAAAGATTGAGGTGTTGGCAGAAGATTTCATGGCCAGACGAATCAATAAATGTTATCCAGCATAACAACATTAATATTCAGACTATGTAATAAAAACCTGAAATCTGAGCTAACCCGATGAGCATCGTCTAAATTAGTGTTAAAAAAAAAACAAGTTAATGGATGTAATTTACAGACGTAAAAAAACTAGGTAACAAAATAAAAGTCATTACATCCACTGAAGTAACTAGCTCACTCCAAAGAAAAGTAACTTTTTTTTCTTTCTTAGCTTAAAGTTTTCAAACCAGAAATAATTTGGGTAGCCTTTCTCAAGATATTTTTTATAATAAAACTAAAGACAATACTTTAGTGTTTTTTACAAAGTGATGAACCTCCATTCTGCTATTTTTATCATTTCCCAAACATCAAAACCTTTCTTACTCTCCACAACACTAGTATTTCTCCTACACATCTTTCCATGTATCCATACCCCAAATACAACACTTCGTGCCTATCAATGTAGAAACTTATTTTCTACTAAAGATTAACCCACTCAATAATGCTTTTACATCCTTCTGCAGTAAATAAACATTTTCTATAAAATTAATCTCATTCAGTAGTTTAATTTCATCAGCAAGTTTGTAAATTTTACTGTTTATACAATGGTCCATATCAATGACAAAATAAACCATAAAGTTCCGCAGAAAATAACAAATATCTCAACAGAAAATAACTTGTTTGATTTCATAAGTCGGACAAGTATTTGACAAATGACGTTTAATTATAGTAATGTAAGGTAATATATTTGGATTATCACAAATTTGAATAACACATTGACACAGTGGTAGATAAGTCACTGAAGCAGCATCCTTGCTCTTAGTAGTAAAGCTTACATAATTTTAAGGTGTATTTATAGGTATTCAAGTACAAGTTAAAAGAATGAATTATTTCTCTATTCAAGTCACTATTTAGGCTTCACTTGTAATACTGTGTATAGTTTTGGGGTGTCCTTATTTAAAAATGGATATTAACTTATTGGAAAGGGTTCAGAGGAGGGTTACTAGTATGATTACAGAGATAGAAGGATGATCTCGTAGGGACAGATTAAGATATATTAAATTATTTTTTCTTGAAAAAAAGAATGGTTAGAGGTGATCAAACTGAAGTTTATAATATTATCGAAGGAACTGAGAAGATAAAGACCTCTAATTTATTTGTGTTTTACTTTGAAAATAACAGGACAAGTGGACACATGTATAAGATTTAGAAAAGTACAGGCTAGACTTCAGTTAAGTTTTATTTTTACAACAGATTGACTGGCTTATGGAATGAGTTTCCAACAGCAATAGTTGAGACAACCAAATTTACAAAAAATTAAGAAAGGAATTGATGATTTTTTTCAAAAATAAACAGTTTAAATTTTTACTTTTCTCTAGGGTGTGTGTGTGTAAAGACAGCCTTGAAGGACCAAATGATCCCTTGTACTTCTGTTAAACTCAAGTCATATCCTCCCCAGCAGAATGATGCATATTTATCACAACCATTTTCTACCTTCAAGCCAGTTTTAATACACCTTTTGAGTATTTCCTATATTCTATAAGAATCCATAATATTATTAACCCAAGAGTTTTTAGTCTTGGCAATAAAAAACCCCATAAAAAACTATGCTGAAAAAAAAAGGGCTGTGTTTTTAATTTTTTTTTTTTAATCATTTTAATTTAGTTTTGAGGATGGAACAGCCGAGATGGACCAATACGTCCCATGTTGTCCCAAAATATTATGTTATGTTATACCTTTGGCATTTAACCAAGTATCACTTCTGAATATAAGAAGCTACTTGAAAGTCAACATTGGATAAATTTATTGACTCGAACAACAAGGCCTAAAAATAAATTGTTTGTTTTCCCTCCTGCAAATGACCGACAAATGTTAGCCCAGGGATGATGAGTCCAAAAATAGCCAAATACAGGTGACATCAAATATAATCAATGCTAATTCTTGTTTTGGAAGACAAAAGATGACAACTGTGAATCTTTCCGTGTGCTCTGTGTCTTTCTGGATAGCCATCTTTGAGTTTGCTGACAATCATCCTGTCTTGTATCAGGCTCAGGAAATGTCACCTGATGACAATTTGGCTGAACACGTTTTAATTGTAACTGTCAAGTTCCAGTGCAGTTGACAATGGGTCTAAATTCACGCTGAAATAACCTGTCAACTCACCTGACAATTTCCTCATAGATGTGAAAACAGCTTTATTGCTGCGATCTAAATTAGTTATTTCCTCTAATTCAGTGTTATGTAACACATCTTCCCATATGTGTTGAAGTGTATATTTCATGCTAAACCTTTGCAACTTGTTTTTCACAATAGTTCTTGCATGTTTGTCATTGTTTTTCCAAGACCAAAACACAGAATATGTTCAGCCATTGCCTTAGCATGTTTAGGAAAAACCTCAAGTAACCAAGTTAAACTCGTGTAATTTCAAGTGATTCCCGTAGTTTAACAGGACCAGAGGGAACCAAACAGTAAGATTTGGGGAAGAGGAGAGAATTTTACTTGAACAGAAATAAGTGTAAATAATAGCCATAATACTTGTTTGAGTAAAGAGAGCTCCTTGAAGACCTCTCAATATTCTTTATACGAATAGTAGCCTTACTAACCCATTTCAAGATTACAAGTTACCCTAGTCTCTGATTTTAGGCTTGTGAGGTATCCCATTTGCCTTTCTTAGATCAGAATGCTACATATATATATTTTTGGAATAGATCGCTGGTCAATGTAGTTTTTTTTTTTACATATTTAATCTGGTTCTATAAAATAATATTCAATATTCTTCACAAAACTGAAACATTAGCATCTTTATATTGAAGAAAAAAAAAGTAACTTAAAAAGAGAACAAATTGTTACTCAAAATATTTTCACAAGTTAGAGACCAAATTCAAAAGACATTATGAAAGACTAAAAACCAAGGGTCAGAAAAAATTCTGTCAAAATAATTGATAATTAAAAAAACAGATTCCACTGAAGTTAACTAATTGTTAATTAATATTAATTATCTTTTGTCAAACAAAGCATGCAATTAGAGAAAGGAACAGTTTTTTTCTTTCCAAATTTTATGACTGATGATACTGTTTTCAAACATGTTAAAACAGAAACAGATGTATTATGATATCTACATAAACTTGATGATGAAACCAAACAGAAAATTATCATATGAAGCAAGCATTTGACAAAAGAATTTGAAGTCAATGTAGAATATTCCAGATAAGAAGTAAACTTCAAGAACATTATTATACTCCTACCCAATTGTATTTGTGGGGTGGGTTGAGTGTAGAGCATATTTCAAAACTGTATTTCCCACAAATTACAAAATTCATGAATGATTTAATCTTAGGCTTGAACGTGTTGACAAAAACTAAATTTGTTCATGTTTTTATATTTCACATTTTCCAGGGAGTGGGTAAATTTTTATGCCCACTTTTTTTGTAGTCTTATAAATATTTTTATGTATTTAATACTTGAGATATTTGCTAGTTTGGATATCTGAAAGATTTATTCGATCTGTTTGATGGGGGATTTCATGCTTCATATGATGGTTTTAATGACAGGAAGTAAAAACATGCACCTATGCTTACGGCAGCTGGCTCCAAATCACACAGCTATGTTTTATTCAAGTATATTTTATACATGAACCATTTTGGGTACTATAAAGAGAATTTTTTTTTTGACAATTTCTTTCAAATGTGAATAAAATACCATATTATAGTGATGTTTAGTTAAGCATTTTTTTGACTGTTCAGTCCTTTGCATGTGCCATTGATGGGGCATATGAAACTACCAATGCTAGTCAAATCTTATAACAGCTTAACATTCTTTTTTCTTTCTTTCCAGTCTGCTTAGTTTCGGATACACCTCCACTTGGGTAAAACGCGAGTTTGGAAAACTTAGTAATATTTCTCAATCTTTATGCCTTGTATTTGTATCATAAATTGTTGCTCAACAGAAGCATAAAAAATTGTCATTAAAAAAAATTTACCAACCTACTGACTCAATCCCTAAACTGGTGGGCCAAATAAGGAGAAACAAGCATTTTGTTAACCTTGACCCAATCCTTGACATACTTTTTAAATGTCAACACAACAAAGAATAACTAGTAATAATTATATTAGATGAAATATGTTGAATGTTATTATCCATTTTTATTATAACTATTCCATTTAAAAATTTAACTTGGGTGTTAATAAACGTCTAATTTCTGAAGTTTGTCATTGTAAAATTGATAAAAAAAAACCTACTCCACTATAAACTATATATATTAATATTATACAACTGTTTACAACATACAAAATTCGATAAGTTAATTTCAACTATTTACAGATGAATGCTCTCGTATGGTATTGAACATAGTATTTAATACTCATATCCCCCCCCCCCCAAAAAAAAAGATTGAGATAGAGAGAAAGCTTTTACCACCTTAGTCTTAGGTCTAAGTTAACGCTGCTAAGAGTAAGGCAGTGACAGTGGTCAACTCACTAAAGTTAAGCCTAACTAGTCAGTTAGTAACTCTACGGAGTTCGCCTATAATAATATCTAGTTCTAATTTTTTTTTTAATGAGGAAGAAAAATCAACTCTTACCTGGAGATACTGTTTTTTCTAAAATTGTTATCAAATTCATATTCAAGTCTTATACAGGCGTAATAGTCTAAAAGGAATATCACAAAAAGTAAAAGTGTATTAATATAAATCAACCTGAAGAGAAAGAACCATTAGTTTATCGCCAACAGTCAAGAACACCGGTTAAAGTACATGCGGATGCGCCGTTAGTACTTGCGCATCAATTTATGGCGCCTTCTAAAACCTTGTTATTATTGGTGAATCATGTGCTCACAAACTATGTCCTTAAGAGCTGAGTGTTGAAAAAGTAAAAAATATAATAGGTAGTTCCTTACTGTTAAATATTTCAATCACTGTATGAACTAATATGACGACAACTGTATGTTGTATATTTCTAAATCTAATATGTATTTAAAAAAGTTTGGTGTATTAGTAGGATGATTCAATATTTCGTGGTATCATTTATTTCTTGTTCCACGTTTAGTAAATTGATGTAAGCGCTTCATTATATTTATTTTTTACTTTAGTGAATATTTATCTAGAAATACAGTTTAACAAATACAAAACTGTTTTATATTTAAAGTAATGCTTTGAATGTAATAAATGTTAATGTTGCAATAAGTTTTGAAATGTCATTTTTTAACAAAGTGATAAAGATAAGTAAGGTGCCAAAGTTCAGTTTTTTTCTGACTTGGTTTTGTTTTGAAGACATCAAACGATTTACAGTACCTATAATAATAAATCAACAGAAGCCTATTTTTACTGCCTAATAACGATAATTCAAAATGTTTTGCGATAATTTACAATTGCATAGAAATAAATTTTACAACGCAGTCGTCATATGTAAAAAGTTAATCAATACAAGTTAATTATAGCTATATTAAAAATGGCAATTGGAAGATATAATTTAGGCTATATTAGGGGAAACTCATAATAATCAAGAAACAATTAATGACTTTCGCGAAATATCGTCTTATGTGTTTAATTTTTAATCAGGGAGAAAATTATCATTTGATATTACAAGTCTTTTTCAATACCTTCTACTAGGTTCTTCTCTACCTCATGTTTTGTTTGAAAAAATTAGATGAAAATATATTTGCTTGGAAACTTCCACGAAAGTACCACTACTATATCCAATCTGAATATAATCAACAAAAATCTACTGGTCAAATTGTCGATGGCGAATGAACAAGACTTGAATTTGGCTATTTCTTTCAGTATTGAAACTCAGTCTGTCTGTTCTTTGATCTTTCAACTGATTTGAATTTTTTGTACATTTTTATGATAATTTTGAGCCGCTTTAACAAAATGGGAGAGAAATGTTTTTCCATGTTTAAAGAGAAGCGATTCATTTTCAAAGACAATGCATCATTGATAATTATAATCACTGGTGTAGTGCTAAATAAATAAGTAAGGGAACACGTTTTGAAAGTGTTACAGTTATAAGTATTTATTACGTCACCAATACATAAAAACGCAAATTTCAGAAATAGTAGATGTAAACTGTAATTATAATTGAAATCTACATTTGAAAATGTTACAATAAAAAATATTTTCTTTCACTTTGAACTTTTGAATTCCTGAATAACGTATTAATATAATTTCCAAACTTGGTCCATAGGGAAATCCTTGGAATTGGCTACTTTCGTTTTTGTATCAGTTGCTGAACGATGACACCTAAGCCGTTTGTATCCATAGTCGTCTGGTTCCAGTTTTGAATCAGAGGGCTGTGAAGCTAATGGACATGAGATTTGTTACATGGTTGATTAACAGCCTAGACCTCGTTTCCGTAGTGATAAGGTTTATGCTTCCGAAGTCTTGTTCGCATTCGGAAGAACTGCATGGGATGACTTTTGAGCACCCGATTAAAGGATTCAAATCTGATAGAATATGACGCGCACAGTTGTCTAGAAATTTCTGTATGTTATGGTTGTTTTTGAAAATAGCAATCTGAAACGTTTACAAAGGGACTCCCCTTTCTCCAAAGCCTGGATTTATCTTTGCTGGCCACTCATTGACTTCTAATGTACGGAGCTCAGAAAATATGTTTGGAATGGAATGAGAAGTGCCTGGCCATGACCCAATTTGTTCATGAGAAGAAGTTGGTGTGAATGACCATTGTTTCATATTGTTTATGATACTGGTTAAAATTGACCATGATTAACTGAAACAATCTTATTGCTCTCTGTTGGTGTTATTAATGAAACTTCATTTCCTTAATGACATTCTCTGCTTCTAATGTCTTTTTACCCTTATGTTCCTCTATTGCTTCTAAAAACCGTATAATGCGACGAATTAACTTGTCTGCATTAACTATAATGATATCATTTTTTTGTAAGGCTTCTAAAGTGCTTAACAAGAAGGCTAAGTTAGAAATAATAGCTACACCAAAACGGGCCGAATTTATATTACTGGAAACTAACCATTTATTGGTTACTGTGTAAGTATGGTTAAATAGGAAATGGGATGTTCATATGCTCTTGTACGTTTTAACACCCATACCGCTAAATCCCGGGAGGTAACTAACATTCAAATGCCTAACAAGCTTATTGGATTGGATCAGACTTTGTATACAGCCATATCGTAAATATTGTTGCGTCATCGAGATCACGTGACAATTCTCACGCTCTCTTGTTTCTAGAACTATCCCGTATCTTGGCGAATGGTCTAGTATTTACTAGTAGGGTAGGCTGGTATATATAAGAGGGGAAAACGTGACGCGGTAGGGTAATGTGTGTATAGATATAAAACAACACTGTAACGAACGAACGTTAATTTCAACAATACCGTGTGACTGCAGTTCAATACTCACGCGCGAGTATTGAGATTAAGTGTATCGCAGAGTTATATTCGGAAAGAATAAACCAGTTTTATTAAGTAAAGACTTGGTCTCCGTGTGTTAATTGATTTTTCCGTAACTTCGTTCCAACGAAACTTTAACGACAGTGACAATATGTTGGTCAAGTTCTACGAATGTGTTGGCAATTAAAAAAAAATACATTAAGAATTAGTTTAATGCAAAACACTTTCATTCGTTATGAATGCCATTGTCATAGACTGTGTTTGTTGACCCAGAATTATTAAAAGACACTGAATATGTTGATAAAAGATTCTTTTTAATTTTACCGATAGGAAAACTAGTGTAAAGATTATGATAACATTGCATTTCTTTAAACGTTCTTTAATGTATTTCAGACCATCACCTATAATAAATGACAAATCCTTTACTGCAGCTTTTGTTTTTTAGACGTATTTGTATGATGTTTTATGTAGTTTGGGAATTCGAAATCATTTATGAATCACGCTGTAAGAGTTAACAGAATGTACAAGAAAATGTGATAAAATTGTAAAATGTTTATGTATTATACTTTCTATATAGGATTTAACATGCTTATACACCTCGTTACCCGAAGGTTGTTTTTAAAATAAACCCAAGTTCTTTCCACAAAGTTGTAGTATAATTTTTTTTTTTACAAATGAAAACAAAGTTGTTAGCTACGTTATCGGCAGGAGTGATGACATATCTATTATGTTAATAATATAAATGTTTTATAACTCATTTCTTATCCATAACATGTCATTGTTGTTAAGTGATTTTCTTTAAGTATTTTACGCATTTATGGATAATGTCTTTAATTTGGTTTCCGCATTTTCTAAACAGGATTACTTTTAAATTCCCCTTTTTAATTATTCTATTTAAACAAAACTTTACTGAGTGATGTACTAATTACTTGTTTGGTGCATTTCAAATTAATTTTAGTACATTTCCGGAATTTAGGACTTTAACTCATTAATAGTCGTAATCATTGTTAGTTACGATTTCAATGTTAGTGGTCAATGGGAGAATATTAATTACGTTCGTGTTTAGAGGATAAAATGTTGTGCATCTCCTCAATAGTTATCTAACACTTTCTTTATAATTAAAGATTCTATTGCCTACTGCCTTCCTGCAAGTGTATTATCCCCCGGATAACCAGCAGACGGAGAAGTTAGGCCTGCTAACAACAGGTGGTTCCAGATAGTGGAAAACCACAGTAAATGAAACAAACTTCTAGAAGTCGTCATATTGGAGAAACTGGTGTCGACACATTCATGTGTCCCCTTCAGTCTCAAGTTGTCTTCTTTACTGATTTTTCACTAATTGATACACACGATATTGTGTTCTTTTATTAAAAGGTACTTGATCTTGTGTTTTGACGTGTTTCTCCTCGAGTTGTAAAAATTTAATCAGGGTGAATGAGATAAGAAACAGGTACACACCGAAAACAAATGTTTGACAACATTATCACAGTTTAGAATACAAACAAACAACAATACCATACATTACATAATAACGCAATTAACAATCAAGGAAGTGATCTTGTGTTTACTTCAAATTAGCAGGTGTAGCAAGAGTGACGATGAGAATATTAATAAGAATCTGTAAATGAAACTAGAATGTTAAATAACATCAAAGACTAAATGAAAGTATCCCCAAGTTAAATGTAGAACAGTAAAGTTAATTCTCACTTAAACTGTGTGAAATGTAATTTTCTACTTGAATTTCACCAAAATGTAAAACAACTTCACTTTAAGACGCTTCACTATCTAGTGAAGTAAACTCTATACTATTCGCTTATAGCAAACGATAACTTAATTAAACCCTGAAGCACTGTCGAGAGCTTTAAGGCACTTACTTCAAGTAGAAGCGAGAAGAAACAAAGCTAAACTCCGTTTACTGAAAGTGGACTTCAGAAATTCTCCTAATTAAGATAACAGAAAAGACCGAAAGTGGACTTCAAAGTAAGATAACAGAGAAGACTTGTCAGGGTTTTATGTATATGTGTGTGGGCTGGGGTTCTTCTACAGTAGGTGTCTGTGACTTGTTTGCGATAGTTTCGAACAATAAACGGACAGCACACAATCCACTTGTTTTCAAATAATATATATACAAAACAAGTCAAACGTATGTACAACAATTCTTTACATTCTAGGAAATCACAGTTTTATCTAAAACTATAAATAATTCTCCTTGTCAAAAGTTCACACAGGCTGATTTAATTACTTTAGAAGCCAATTGAGAAGACGAATTATTTTTCTGCCCTGTTTCTTACTGTACAATATGCGATAAAATCACTTACGTCATTCCGTTGGTTACCACAGTTGTATCTCAAACATTAAGTAACTGTCTCCTTTTCGTCAAAGTCCACACAG